AAGATTTCTCTCAGAGCATGAATATTTGAATGATATGAAAAAGGAAAAAGAAAAATATAGACAAACATAGCATAAATTTTTATTGGATTGCGATGTTTTGAGGTTTCTTCTATGTGATGTGGTAACTTGACAGAGTGCATGTATTACGACATCAGTTGGCTGAAAGTCAGGGTATGGTGGGACAATGCAGGATACGCAGCGACATGTCGTATAGTACCCCGAGGTACTTTCCGATATATCGAACCGTACCCAGGGTACCCTTCGATAGTTCCCTGGGGGACATAGACCCTATCAGCGCCAGTATCAGTGTTGATCATCAGTACAGGGGGTATCTGTTGTACTGTGTCAGTATGTGATGGCAGCGCACAAAGAAATTCCATGGAACATCACCGGTCCATGGTACCGGTCCGGTCCAATTAATATTGTAAAAATTATGTTACAAGGTAACGTTTAGCACACATCATTACAAAAAGCGAAAGCTAAAACAACATCTGAACTGACAGTGTAATTTTTAGGGTGTGTAAATGTGTTGTTAGTGAATGATGCAGTAGTAGTAGAAGTGTCTAGCCTGACATATGCATCTTTAACAATACAGTGACGCATCAAAATACCTCGTCGACATCCTATTGCCAGTGAGTGAGGTTTCGAGGGAAGATTGGATAGACAGAATCCTAGAGGCTGTGGAAAAACAATCATGTAAGTGCCAAATTCGACTCTGTATTAACAGACACATCTATAGAGCAGAAATCATGGCATTTCTCTTGAGTAGCAGTTTTACAGTGAAACTAACGCATTTCAAGTTTTCTTTTAAGGAAATCTTAAATATATAGGTTTGACAGTAATTGAGTATTGCATGAGTTGATAGTGTGCATAGCTTCTTTTGATGCATAATTAATTTGAGAACTATGGCACGCATATTGCAAAACAACAGACATATATCTGTATAAGTCTCTGTTTCATAATTTCCACTTCTTTGAGCATAGAAAGCAGGTCCTTGTTTCCGCTGACTGTCCGTTTCCATGTTTTGCAGTGACGTCGTCGGTTGTAGATAAAGGGATAGTACAGGCAGCGGTTCATGAGTGCAAGACAGAGGGAGAGGATAATAGGTATGGTTGAAAGTCACACTTCTGTGTCACAGCTTGCAGTATCCAAGTTCAGCGACTATAATTCGTATACATGGTTGCGTTACTTTATAAACCAACAAACTTTGGAAGTTCGTTTTGTGATGTTCCCTCGTATATGAGATTATATTTTGAACGTTACATCGAGGTGCATGAGCATTAAATTAACGTTTATCTTTCAGCGAAGAAGTTATGACAATCATCGATGCGTTTTCTGTGCCGAAGTTTACGTATCTTCCAGACCGGAAAAAGTTTCTGCCGTGAGTACTGAGATTCAGGAGCCTGTTGGCAGAAACAAATGACAGTCTTTACATTCTTTAGATTAGTCTTAACGTTAACTTTTTCTTGTAGACCAGACCTCTATATACTGGGTCTGATAAACTTGTAACTTTAATATGTTCTTGGCAACTATCTATGAGAAAGCTATTGTTAACACTAATTTTAAGACTAATTTAGTTTCTGACAATGGCCCCAGACTCATATGTGCTAATAGTTTATGCTGTAATGGTTATTTCAGTCGATGACTTCCCTAAAAATCCTCAGTATTACTTAGTTGCTGCTTATAAACAAAACCAATTAGTTAATCAACTATCCATTACCGTGGTTAAGACATTTACAGACAAGGTCTGTGTCTCTCTATGCGCATTCATCTTCGTCTGACCTGTTCGCCTGGTCTCTTCACTAGGAACCTGTCATGCAACAAGATGGCTCCTAACCTTCACAGTACAGCCAAGGACAAAGCCGATATCTTCCGGGATCGCTATCAAATACTTCACCAGGTTCGCCTCCTTGTCTGCTTTGTACAGAACACTTGCTGGTATGAATGCAATGGTTGTCTACATAGTGAAGGATAGCTAAGCAAAGACCGAAGCTTGCATGTGAAGTTTGAAAGCGCAGTGGAGATAGCGAAGGAGGAAAGAGAGGGGAAATGGCTAGATCTAGAGATAGAAGAATATGGGTTAAAGGACAGGAGACTGATACGTTCTGTTGTTTATGGCTGCAGCGGACGTGTCGACATGACCTTTTCACGCCATTGATGCTGGGAGCGACTGCAGAAGAGAGTGCTAGGAAGTTTCAGGTATTTCTACTCAGCAAGCGGTCAGTTTATATTCGCAGGTTTAATAACTAATCGTAATATTCAGATAGAATGAGTATTTTGATGATATCTCGTCCTTATCCCGTTTACTGAATTGATGGCTTTTACTAGATATGTTCTTATTTTTTGCTTCAGTTAAAACCCATCGAATATTTGTTAGGATGCACTGCAAAAATAGGGGAAGTGATTGTGCTGGGAATGCTCACTCAAGTAAAGGAGGTAAGAGTCCAGGATAACCCATGTCATGTGTATCTGACCTAGGAGCAGAGGTTGAATATTATTTACTAGTAAGGCAAGTATATGTTATGGTGTCATTCAAAATTTTGGGGCATCATGGTAAGTTGAAGGAATATTTTAAAAGGCCTGCTGCTACTCTATAGTGTTTCACTTGTATCATCTCTGGCTTTCAGGGAAAGCTTTACCTGGAAGACCCAACAGGAGCTGTGCAGCTGGATTTATCAACGACAATATCCTTCTTAACATAATCTGGAAAATATATTTAGCAGCCCGTATGCAATGCCTAATATTCGTTCTTCATCACCTACTATGGAATAACGACAGATGCATTGTATTAACGTAAACGGTTAATTAAATGTTATTCCCCATTAAAATTACCATTATTGCAACGACTCTCAAATTCTATAACACATTGTTACTTGAATCCAGCTGTTTCTCATGCATTCAGATGGTATTTGCTACATATTATAGCCTTGACTGTCCGTTTCCTGCACAGTTTTCATCAGGGTTTGTTCACGGAGAATAGCTTTGTGCTTGCTGAAGGATGGTATGAGGACTCGATCTTCCACGTCAATGCTCTAGGCTTCCCTCCTGCTGAGCCAGCAAGAACCACCAGGTAGGTGATCACTCACACGAACGTTGAACGTCGTACGAAACTCCCGTATTGTACGTATCTTCGTGTTGCCAGGAAAATAAAGTTAATCTGAGTTAGATCGATAATTATTATGGATCTAACTCATATTAACTTTATTTTCCTGTGAACTATAGAGATCCGATGAAATTTTTTAATCTATCTTCTTGTTGTTTGCGCATGGGCGTGTGTGCGTGAGTGCATGGAGTTACGCGAGCATAACTGTAGCGAATCCCTCGTCAAGCAAGGTAACGGCTCCAGGGCCGGATTTAGACATGGTGCATGAGACCCTAAGCTATGGGAAGTTGTGGAGACTCTATTTGGCAATTAGTTAACAGAGAATAAGTCTGTGTGACAACTGAACTTGGGAAGAATGCCACCAAGATGCATGACAAGATGTCCTGAAAACATCCTAAAATGTAATCATCTAAATATAATCATAGTAGTAATACATCCCTAAGATGTATAGCTTGTTTATAGCTTATGCCTAAATCCGGCCGGGAACATCTATCTTCTCTCCTCCTCATGCAGGGCGTATTTCGGAGACGTTAACTTTTTCGGTGGTCCGAGCAAGACGAGTGTCAAGGCGTCTGCGCGACTGAAGCTGATGGAAGAACAGAACAATGGCGCCATGTTTGTGTTCCTCTCTGATGTCTGGCTGGACCAGGCGAAGGTAGATTCTGTTTATCATGTCTCGCTGCCATATATACACGCACACGCACACGCACACGCACACGCACACGCACACGCGCACACGCACACGCACACACACACACACACATATATATACAGTACACAATCTATTATCCGAAATTCTGAAAACCGAAAAGCTCGGAACCGAAGGTTTCTTGTGGAGGTCGTCTGCACACCAAAGCTCGCGTTTGGCTGCACAAGATTCACTGCAGAAATATTGATGTGTTTGGCATTACTCATACATATTGTACTGTAGTGGTATAGCACTTGGCCTCTTGAAAACTTTTTTAGTACAATCTAGTTGCAGGATATACGGTATATATCCGAAAAATTATAAATTCCGATACTTGTCTGGTCTCAAAGGTTTCGGATAATAGATTGTGTACTGTATATATATATATATATATATATATATATCATGTGAGAAGTGAATTTTGTTGTTGTGCGTGTGACATCCGTCGTGGCGTACACATCTTGATGGACACCCTCCAGGATTGTCGTTGTTCTGTAATGGTGTTTGCATTTGTTCGACAAGGTGATGGAGAAGCTGAACGTCTTGTTCAAAGGTTATTCGCCAATCCCACCAACAGCCTTCATCCTGTGTGGCAACTTCTGCTCAGAACCTTACGGACCCAGTTACACGAAGACTCTCAAAAGTAAGAAGTACTTGTACTTAATTGCTACTTGTCAGCCGCAGTACTGTTCTTGTACTTAACATATATACTTAAGGATACTCACCACGTTGCGCAAGGGTAATCCGGTAAAGGGTAACCCGGTATTGCTCTAGTGAAGATTAAACGTTTATTGGCGAATGAATCGAATCAATCACTTGTTTTATTTATAGAGGAGATATATCTCTATGCTCAAGCCAAAAAATTTTAATGAAATTTCCAGCACCTAATTATGTTACCACACAAATTTTGAATTTTTATGTAAAAATGGTATTTTGGATATTTCTCAACTACCAGAAGGAGTGAGGATACAAAATTTTTGCCACATGTTAAGCACAATATGGACCAAAATAGCCCATCAGGATTTTTCTTTAATTTACATATTTACTGAGAAAACTCGAAAAAACTGCTTAAAAATCAAGTTATGTGTAAAAATAGAAAATTTTAGCGAATAAAGAGACATAACTAATAAAGTAAGGCACTTAATAACAATCCCTGATGGGCTTTTTTACCACAAAATGTTACCATTAAAACGAGTGTAAAATTAAATTAATCCGAGTTGTAATCACAGAGAAATATCCATTTATACATCGGCTACTATGTCAGAAATCGAAACAGAGAAATCAGCGTTTTTCTATTTTTCACAATGAGTGACCGCCTGTGTGCAAAATGGGTGAACGTATGTGATATATCTATTGTTAGTACTTACTGCGACATATCCATGACTAACTGACACCACTAAATTGGTAAAATGTTCCATGCACCTTGAGAAATTCTGAGAAATTACGAGGTGACCAACGCAAATTCATGCAAATGGCGCGAACCCTGACGACTGACGTCACTGTCAACAAACGCGCGCCTTATGTAAGGTGCGTTGCGAGGCGTGAGAACTATTTTAGGCTCTTGTGGGATACTTATTGGATCAGGGTAGTAGTACAGCTGTAGCAGGGTTGATGTTGATCAGGAGTAGATAATAGGGAATTCCCTATTATCTACTCCTGATGTTGATGGATACTGGCTCAGTGAATATCGTGAAAATGCTGGTTGTATCATTTGTCTGACGTCATAATGACGTCAGCCGCTGCTTACTACACATGTACGCGGGCAAGCAAAAACGCTCTGACAGTTCACATGTCCCGTTATAAAGAAGAAATGAACATGTACACAGGTGGCACATAGTGTTAGCCATCGAATAAAGTTGAAAACGAAAAATCGATGAAATTTCATGCACAACGTGGAGAGTATCCTTAATAGGGGTAATTAGTATTGTAATTAGGGATGCACTGCATGCGAACTCTGATGTTCTGGCTGGTACTGGAATCAGCCAGAAGAAAGGAAAAATTTCCCCAATTATTCACCGAAAAAGTTTCGGTTCCAACCGATTGTTTAAGAAGAGTTGCAGCCGAAACGGGAACTTTGAGAAATTGGGCCAAGTTCTGGCACAAACCTAGTTGGTATCTTGGACAGAATTTTAATTACTCATGAGTAATTAGTGGATGCAGCTGTACTGTTTATGAGACTGCAGACAGGAATTTTATTAATAAAATAACTATCCATCTCTTTTGCACAGAGTCATTCGCTCAGCTAGCCGATATGTTGCTGCAGTTTCCAGAGTTGCTGGAGAGCAGTAAGTTTGTGTTCGTTCCTGGACCCCTCGACCCGGGCCCTGGCAAGATTCTGCCAAGGTACGTGCTAATCAGACGATTTGTTTCCGATAACTGGTCCCTTTCCCTCTAATCGTAATCCCTTATCTGTTAAAGTGATTCTATCTCACTTCAACGAGATTGCAAGGATGTTTGATGGATTTGATTAATAGTGTAACAGCAAGTAACAAACAAAATGGTCGCATGCTGATCGCTTGCTATAATACCATGGTCCTGCTTGTGTTACGACATGTTGACATTTACCGCAAACGAGAAACACGGTCTGAGAATGGCTTCGCTCATACGTGTAACACCGGAGCCCGTTGTCAGAAACAAAATTGGACAATTAACATTGGTCTTAACATTAATCATTTCTCACTGACCCAACCTCTATAGACTGCATACGAGACACTCGTAACTTTATGATGTTTCTGTCAACGGTCTATGAGAAAAAGTTAATATTAAGACTAATGTTAAGCCTAATGTTGAGACTAATTTGTTTCTGACACACAGTCCCCTGTTTATTAAAAAAAATGGTTGTAGTGTTACATCTCAAAGTGTTAACCTCAGTCATCCCCGTGACATTCCCTCATTGTCGGCTGACCGCATTGTTGCAGGCCGCGGTTGCCGGCGGCGATCACGGGGGAGTTTGAGCGGCGCGTGCCGCAGGCGACCTTCACGTCGAACCCGTGTCGCGTCCAGTACTGCACGCAGGAGATCGTCGTCTTCCGCGAGAACGCCGTCGCTAAGACCTGCCGCAACTGCGTGCGTCTGCCGAGCGCAGCGGGCGTCGCCCAACATGTAAGCGCCTCGCGTATCGCACGACGGCAGCAGTCTATTGCTGCGGCGTTGGGGGCAGTCTATTGCTGCGGCGTTGGCGGCAGTCTATTGCTGCGGCGTCGGCGGCAGTCTATTGCTGCGGCGTCGGCGGCAGTCTATCGCTGCGGTGTCGGCGGCAGTCTATCGCTCGGAGTCGTCGGGCAGTAGTCTAGGGGCTGGCGGAGTCGGCTGGCAGTTTATCGTTGCCGGGTCGGGCCGAGCCAGTCGTTTGCAGGCTATTTGTTGACGGGTCGGATTCTTGCCTTTCAATGGCACATGTGCAGCTAGAGTGTGCTGCAACATTGAACAAGCATGAATACCTCGCTAGGCGATGTGTACTATATATTCTATACCTGTTTATCTATTCATGTATATAATATACATACATACATATATATACACACACACACATATATATATATAGTCTCCATTACTTTTCATCTCCGACGCAATTAGATTTCGTTCAGTTTTTCACACCAGTTGTTTTTCTATTCACTGCTTTAGTTACTAGCCATCAGGTGGCGCACCGATGCAGTCTAACACCTTTCCATGTGTTATCTGTATAGTTTGTGAGGACGATCATCGCTCAGGGTCACCTATGTCCGCTACCGCTGCACCTGTCACCCGTGTACTGGTCACACGACGCCGCACTGCGTCTCTACCCTCTACCGGACGTTGTCGTCTGCGCAGACGCATACGACCCATACAGCGAGACACTGTCTGATTGCCTAGTGTTCAACCCGGTGAGTACTTGCCACATTCTGACAGCCTAGTGTTCAACCCGGTGAGTACTTGCCACATTCTGACAGCCTAGTGTTCAACCCGGTGAGTACTTGCCACAGTCCGACAGCCTAGTGTTCAACCCGGTGAGTACTTGCCACTTTCTGACAGAAAGCTGTTAGTCAGATTCACTGTTTTTTCGTTCAAAATTTTTGGAGATTAGCAAAACTATACATTTTTGGAATCTTCAGAGCATTGGGAATCCAAAAATTAATGTTGGCATTTGCATAGACACCTGCATGGCTGCCATTTTGGATTTTCAAAATGTGGACAGATAGCCGGTTAGATCTGCCATGTCTGCAAAGTAACAGAGCGTCCAAACGTGGAACAGCTCTTCCCAATGTGTTCGGTTCGAACAGATTCATGTTCGGAAGTTTTACTGTGTTATTCGTGCTCGATGGCTGAAAGAGGATCAAAGCAGGGAATAGTTTGGCAGCCTTCCATTGTCGGCGAAGATCGGTAGATGCAAATTGACCTGCGTATAAGATGGCTGGAGTTAAGAGGATTACGATTGTGTTTGTTGTCGTCATCGGTGTTCAATCAGGTGTATCCCCATCAATTACCTATCCATGCTGATGTGCCCCTTATTCAATTGTTGATGATATGTACTATACATTATTGTTGATTGATATATACAGTTAAGACGAGTTTATAAATTTAACAAGATGTGGGGACGAAATCCTAATGCCGATAGTAGATGCACTTTTGTTTTCCTTGGTCCTGACATCTGCTTCAGTGTGTCATGTCAACCATTGTTTCAGTGTGTCATGTCAACCATTGTTTCAGTGTGTCATGTCAACCATTGTTTCAGTGTGTCATGTCAACCATTGTTTCAGGGATCGTTCCCAAAGTCCGGCTTCTCCTTCAAGGTGTACATGCCAGCCACGAAGGCCGTGGAAGTGTCACGTGTCAGAGACATGCCCACGGACACCGCAGATAGCATCGATGCCATGCAAGGTGCGGGCGACTCCGCAGTGTGGTAACAGTCGCACTGCGGTGTGTGTGTGTGTGGGGGACAGGGCAGACAACATACTGCGCATGTGTGTTAACGATGATGTGCAGTGATGCAGTATGCGCTTTAGTCGTGCCTGGTGCCGTCACATCTCACCCTCAAAGGCGAGGGTGTCTATGGTACAGTGGAACTATACTAACGTGCTGTTAGAAGTTTCGGGAAAGTTTTACATAAATTTCGATCGTTCAGTGTCTGTTGTAAATGCTCACATTAATGTGAGAATTGATGAAATTCACGTAATGCTTTGTTTTGTACCATCAATTTAAGTAATCATTCTGGCCGTGTGCTAGTAGGATTATAAATCTGTATATAAATATAGTTTTCATACATATTACACACAAACGACTGCTATTTTGCTGTTTTATACTGACACTTACTATATTTGTCTAAATTTATACACATATTTGGTCATTCATTCTGATTAGTCGTTCATTTTTTTCGTCGATTCTTTTTACATTTAGTTGATTAAAAGAAACATATATTTACAACATTTTATTGTAATCGAGTCATCCAATCAGACTGCAGTCTGGGTCCATGCTTCTGACAGCTTTCTTCACCATCATTTCGCTGAGGTCCCACAGTTCAGTGATGTTCTGTGCATCCAGAGCTGCGTCGGACGGCTGGCATACGCAGCAGTTGTTGAAATACAAGCCTCCGACACCTTCCAGCTCTGTAGCCGTCGCACAATACACACTCGTTGCTGCGGCTTGTTGCTGAAAATACAGTGAGTACAGTGAGAACACGGGCCTTGTGCCAGGAAATCCGCCTTTCACCCATCTATGGCAAACAATATCTGACAATGATCTGTTCAAAACAGGAAACTACTTTCTAGCCATCTACTATACATGAAAGCAATTTTTTAGCAAACTGTACAAAGTGAAAACCCATTTCAAGGGTGGAACCATTCAAAGGAAGCCTCTTTTCAGTGAACAATACCAAACACGAAACGACTTTGCGATTTGCGAGCTCACCAGTGACTTTGTGAATGGTCGTACGGTAGCAAACAGCAGCCTGTAGAACCACCAGTTACGCGACAGGCTCGAGCTGACCATGTTACCCGGGTGCAAGCTATTACACGCCACGCCCTGGCTAGACAGGCGCCAGTTAAGAGCGTTGGAGAACAGACTACAGCAGAGCTTCGACTGGTTGTACGCAGACATTGAGCTGAACTGAGCATCACTCGGCGGTGACAGTCTATCCTCTGTCATGTTGTTGTGACATAGATCGGAGAACCTGAGGAAGTGACGATAAGGGGCAAGGTGATATAAAATACACACATACTGATATAAAACCATGTTATATACAGTTACAGAGTCTGATATAAACCCTTTTATATAACCCCTGTCTTGTATGTAACTACTGATATTTAAAGGGCAGGTGCACTGATAGAATATACCCACAGACCAGCACGAGACGATACCTATAGGTTGTTAACCCAAGTTTCACTAAGAAGTTTTCCTTACCTGTGTGACTCTGAGGACAGCACAACGATTCGTGTAGGTGCAGAACGAATCAGCACATCTTCCAGAAGGTTGGTCAGGTAATACTGTGACAGGTAGTTCACCTGCAGTCAAGTGTCACTATGTAGCCACACGGCTGTGAACAATGCTTAACGAATGATATATTACACCCCAGGAGCAGCTTTCTAACAAATTGTTTTGTCGTAAGTAACGCCGCTTTACTACAATGCGAAAAAACGATCACATTCTCTACCTGGAAAATGGTTTCGAATCCATCCTCGGTCTTGCTATAAGGCAATGCAAATACAGCAGCGTTCAGAATGAAAATGTGTAACGGCCTGAAACGAAAGAAATATGCAGGTGTGTTCGACTGGAAATGGGAATTGCCGTGATAGTCGTGAATTTAAACTCAACCTCTGAGATTGATAACTGCTCAGAACTTTATTGAAGGGTGCAGGAAGAGGATGAGCATTAGTATAATGGAATTTGGCTCTGATAACAGTCGCACGAACCATTTCTTGCTCCTGTAGTTGTTAGCAAACTCGCGCACACTCGCTAATGATGTCAAATCCATCATCATCACCTTCACATTGGCTTCGGGCTGGAATCAGAAAACCTGTGATCAGCTCCCACCGACAAACACACATTGCAAGAAATGGCACCTCTAACGCTGGGTTTACACTGCCATCTTTGAGTTGGCGAATTGCCGAATTAGAACATGTTCTAATCGGTTGGACGTGCAACTTCTGCGTTTATACTGCCGATTGTCAATTGCCAAATTGCCAAGTTGGTACAATTCGGCAATTCGCCAACACAAAGTTGGCAGTGTAAACCCAGCTTAACATTGATATTTTTAGTGTGAAGCCGCTACCATCTTTGCACTTATAATATGGATTCTCCTTTTCAGTGTTGAAAACGTGTGTCATTTAGTTGATTGAATGCACTGTCACTGCAAAGCAATGCTGTAAGTACTGAACCAAAGTGAGCCAAACTAACACTGCAACTTCACTGAGCTCCGTAGTTTTCAAGACGAATCACAATTGCAATCCCGGGGAAACATCTACAAAATACTGCAGCACTGAGCGTACATCACCTACCCTCTCTGTGTGGATCGCCGCGGCTGCTGCCTCTCCTCTCTCCTTGCTGCGTGAGGCCAGCACAACATGGGCTCCATGAAGTGCGAGTGACCTCGCAGTCTCGTAACCTAAACACAGACACTTCGTGCGATGAGACACACATTCACGTTTTCATCATTCTTTTCATGCTTGCACGAGTGTCATTAACACCGGCAAAGAATCCCCGATTGTATATTCTCGCATTTTATCCCAACAGAGAGATGATCATCAGTGCCTTTCTAACAGATCGTGAAACCCCTCCTCCATGAAAATTGTTGTTTCCACGTCGACTAGGAAGCATCGACCACAGATGCAGTTACATCCAAACTGAAATGCGCGCGCTGCCACACGTACCTATTCCGGTATTTCCACCCGTCACTATGACGTATTTGTCGCTGAGGTCACGACCATGTAGGACCTCCAGCGCCCTGCTGCTGCCGTCGAAGCGCTGCCTGATGTTTGCCGCCGCATCACTGCTATTGTCCTCGACGGCGAAGGCAAGCCGTGGATCGGAGTAAGTAGTCTTCTTGTTGATGTGACTGCCGACGCATACAAATACGGATATAATGACACGCGGCGTCTGTTTTGACAGTTTATCCCATCATTCGTGCTAGCGTTCATAATCTGTGTCAGAATACGTATAATGTTATAACAGAATTAGGTTATAGTTATGATAACATTCAGTGGCAGAGAGCAAAGTAATATGTAGTATCACACCTATAATGCAATTACTTCAAAATGTGTATACAAATACAAACTTGTGGTTGACCTCTTCCCACATTAAATCAACTATGAATGAGCCACATATTGAACCTGAATTATAAGGGGATTGTAACCATAAATAAATAACAACTACATTGCAACAAAAGCACAAGTCATATTGCTCTTCACTCACTCAACATAATAGATGTGGTTGCTTTCAGTAACCTTCCTTTCCCATCCATATGGCAATTCTGCAGTAAATTATATGTGTTAGAATGGTTTAAGAAACACTACGAAACTGTTTACAAAAAATCATATTTCAACACAAATATTAAAGGAACAGTAGCCTCTAGGTTCTAGGGTTATTTTCAGCTAATTTAGGTTATAATTGCGGTACATAAAAAGTTTCATGGTTCAATCACCATTAGAAATATTTAAAAAAAATGTTTTAAAACTAACGACTACAGTTTGATTACGATTTGTAACCGATTGATTACGATTTGCGATGATTCGATTTGAT